AGGATTTGTGGACAATTCAAGGGTGTCTTTCTAATTACAAATAAATGAAACAATTATGTCAATTATGCTATAAACTTAGAATAAAAACTAGAATGTCAATTAAATAAAAAAGAATTAAATTATTTAATCATCAATAATTTTTCATTAGGGGTGTGCATGGATTATAAACCAAACCAAACCAAACCACATATATGGTTTGATTTGGATCTTAAAACCATTTATATAAAATCGGTTTATTTTTTTAAAACCGATTTACAAGTGGATTGGTTCGGTTTCAAACCGGTTTTTTTAAAAAATAGTTTTTTTAAAAACCAGTTTTAAACTGGTTTCTCTCAAAACCAGTTTTTTATTTTCTTTAAAGAAATCAATTTTAAAACCATTTTTAAAAAAAAATCAATTTTATTGCAAACTATCAAATAATTGATAAACCACCTGAAACTTATTCTACTTTAAACTTATTGCAAACTATCAAATAATGGATATAAATCAATTAATCAATTTTATTCCAGTTATACATTGAATTAAATCAATACTCCATATATCTTAAACTTTAAACTACTCAATATAAAACTGGAATTAGACTAATTCTTTTTCATCTTGAATTAAATCAATTAGTCGAGAAGTACGTTGAATTTATATAAATCAATTAATCGTGAAACTTATTCTACTTTAAACTTATTGCAAACTATCTACCTTAAGCTTATTCTACTTTAAACCAAATCAATTTTATTGCAAACTATGAGTGTTGATCTTGATTTTCCCAAACTGAACTACTTTTGTTTTTGAAACTTATTGAAAAATGGTTACTGAATCTCAATCCGGTTTGAAACAAATAGTTACCGTTTTTCTTTTAATTTGATAAATGGGCCACCAAATTTAAAATATAAATTTGGACTGGATTTTAAAATTTGAATTAATTTGAATAGAAATTTAGTTTATGGTTATTTTGCACACCCCTATATATATATATATATATATATATATATATATATATATATATATATATATATATATATATATATATATATATATATATATATATATATATATATATATATATATATATATATATATATATATATATATATATATATATATATATATATATATATATATATATATATATATATATATATATAAATTTTATTTATTACATATACACTAACTTAATTGTCATTTACGATCCTGAAACAAAAAAAAGACAAAGAGTTTGAAAAATGGATTAACCCTGATTTTAAAAAGTGGACACCGATTTTTAATGGTTGTAGTAAAATGAATTTGTACTGATTTTTAAATCAAATAATATGAACTTTTGAAATCGGTGCACCATATTTTTAAATTTGATTTTTTGTGAACATGTTTTTTTGCACACCCTTATTTTTGATAAATACAAACTAAACTGTGAATAAATTAAAAAGAATGAATTTACCTAACGATTTATTTATTATTTGGATAGAAGATAAACTATTCTACGGATGAACTAGGTTGTCAACTATGACGTGCGATCTATTTTCTTATCTAATCTCATGCTTTTGTTCACTGATTTTGAAACATTCTATTCGAACATGATTAAGCCTTAAGTTTATGTTTTTATTAACCATATCTTTTATTCATAATTCACGATTTGCACGTTATTTTTTGTTTTATTTTATTGGATCCTGCTGAACGAGCTTTGTAAATGTGTATTTTATATATTCAGAATAAGATCGCTGAGTTGTTGATTTGGTTGTTGGGATCGATCTGTCCTTTCCATTTATTTTTGTTTCCTTAGATATATACATACAATGATGGTTCAAATATTTTACAATTAATATACAAAATATAAGATTTCAGATCACATTTATGCGATGTGATTTTCTGAACTAATATAATAAATTGAATTTTACCAAAAAAAGTAAAATAAAAAATACAACCAATTTCTTTTAGAAGACATGATGAGAGAGACTCTTAGGTTTTCAATGCACAAAAATGGCCATCAGTTTTTTTATTAGGAAAATAACATTTAAAGGTAAGTTGTATTGGCAGGTATAACACTCCGATTTCTAATAGTAAAAAAGCATTTGGTTTTTGATTTTAGACAACAACAATACAATAGAAAATAATCACGATTATCCTTTTTTTTTTTGTTTAACAAATTCAAGTATATCATGTCAAAACTTGGACAAAGTTATAAAATATTTTTACCATAAGAGCATACTCTCACTTGTTTGACATTAAAATAAATGTGTATTTAAAATGTTTTTATTACCATAACCAACTTCAAAATAAAAGAAAAAGGAAAAAAAATCTAAATAGATCTTGAACTCTAAATCAAAGATGATTGACAACTAAAGACTACTACTACCGATAGAAAATTAATTTCAATAGAATGAACCGATATTAGAATTGTGAACGAATAATTTTTTTTTATAGTATTTCAAATATTTTTGAATTGTCTTAGAGTTTGTACGCAAGAATACCCAGGATAAATCAGCCTATACTCGAGTTTGCACAAAATCAATGAAAACTCGAATATAAGAAAGATGAAATTTGAAATTTTGTAAGAAGAGAATAGACTTTATAATGTATTTTTCTGAATGTAGAATGCTCAATTTACAGGCAAAACTGATGTTGTTTTATAAGATTGCAACCCTTGATGAAAAACACATTTTCAGCAACACTTTTGCTAAATGTTACACTATTTCTCATACAACAGCATTTTCAGACGTTGCACTATTTCACTTACAACAACATTTTTATTAAATGTTGCATTGTTTCGCGTACAACAACAATTTTCAATAGTTGTACTGTTTCGCATTATGTAACACTTCACAAAGTGTTGCCTACTTTTTGATTCAAAATACAAACTGCCTACTGCAACACTTCACAAATCATCGTCCTGCTAAGTCTTCAAGATACCATGATATCGTTGATTTGACTTCTCTCATTAAAGTAAGTATAAGTGTAATAATTATGTTAGCAAATATCACGATGCAATTAGTGAAGTTATATTATGCACATGAAATAATTATTATTCTAAGTAGAAAATGATTTCTCTCATTGTGGATGACTTTACTTTTGCGCATTTGTTGTTTTAGGGAGGTCATTATGTGAAATTTATAACTTTTATTGTCTTAGGTTTGTGTTGTTGGATGTTTATTTTTTGACAAAAAAAGAATTTTTAGTAAATGCAAGTGCTTTTATATTTTCTTTTTGTTATTGATGCAAGATGTATTTTTATTTTAAAAAAAAGAAAGATGCATAATATATATGTGTTTTTTTATAAAAAAAAAATAAAATAAAGAAAGATCGAGTCTTAGTTTTGATTGAAAAGTACATAATTTTTTTTAAAATTCGACGTTCGTGGATCTCCATGGAGATCTATGAGAAAAGGTGATGAGAAATAATTTTCCTTCAGTGCGGAGATATGAGGAAGTATCATCCACACATTCTCTGTCTCTTTGACATCCATACATGTAAACAAGTGCACGTGGTTACCGTTTGATAGAAACTTTTAAGCAAGTGCAACATGCTTGTACACTGCAAAACTTCACAAGTTTCACCATTATTAGAGTTACGCTACTATTAATACTGTACTAGTGTCCAAACGTCTGTTTTTCCATTTTTTAATGTGCATATATGACAAATATAAACATGTATTTTTTTATTTAACTTTGGTTTAAATTTAAACTGTTTGTATAATCAACTTTATTCACTTTCATATTTGTCTTTTTTATACGCAAAGTTTTTTTATTAATTAACTTATTTATCAAAGAAACTAGTACATCGTTTAACGTGTATATATATATATATATATATATATATATATATATATATATATATATATATATATATATATATATATATATATATATATATATATATATATATATATATATATATATATATATATATATATATATATATATATATATATATATATATCTGAATTTAAAGGCAGTGCACTGTCAGTGTAGAGAAATATTACATAGACATCTAATTAGATTATTTTAAATTGTCAAAGTATAACAGTATTTTAAAAATAAAATTGGAGAAATGTGCAACGTCAATTCTGGGAAAAACTGAACACTAAAGGGAGTATCCTTCACTAAAATCCTAGAGTCAAATGGGTCAAAAAGGGGGATCAAAATTCAAATTTTTTTCATAATATGCTTAAACATCGAGGCAAGAGAAATTTTATTACCTCACTAAAGGTGGGATCAGAAGTTGTGGAGGATGTTATTATTATCAAACAGTTTGTCAAAAACCATTTTGCTAACCAGTTTCAAAGCTTATGTGGAACTAGGCCTAGTTTTTATTTTGACGATTTGCATGGATTATCTGGAGCTGATAGGTGTTTGTTGGAAGATGTGTTTTAAGAGGACTAAATAAGGGAGATAGTGTTTGGTTGTGCTAGTAATAGAAGTCCTGAACCGGATGGATTCAACATGGGGTTCTGTCATAAAAGTTGGGAGGTGATTATGCATGATTTTGTGCGGTGTATTCAAGAATTCCAAACTACTGCTCGTTTACCTAAAGTGATGTCTTCATCATTTCTGACTTTGATACCAAAAAATGATAGCCTTCAATCTCTTGAAGACTATCGACCTATTTGTCTTGTCGGTTGTGTTTACAAAGTTATATCAAAATTGTTATGGAGAAGCTTATTTTGAATAATCAAACGAATTTTATTCCGGTTAGGCAGTTATTAGATGAGGTGGGAATTTTGAATGAACTAATTAGTATGGCAAAAAAAAGGAGGCAAAATTGTGTCTTATTCAAGGTAGATTTTTCAAAGGCTTACGATTGTGTGAATTGGTCTTTTTTGATGCAAATGATGTTGGCAAGGAGGTTTGGGGAGAGGTAGTTGAGATGGTTGGAAATAGGGGTTTTTGCAAGTTTTTATGTCGGTCCTAGTAGATGGAAGTCCAACAGAAGATTTCCAGGTTTATCGCAGGTTGAGGCAAAGATATCCTTTGTCTCCTTTCATCTTTTCAATTGTCGCGTAAGGTTTTACTAAAATGGTGAATAAGTCTTCTAATGTGGGATATCTTAAGGGCTTTAATGTTAACGACAATGTTAGTTACAACCTCTTGCAGTTTGCAGACGATACCATCCTTTTGAGTGATGGTGATTGGGTAAACTTATGGGCTTTTAAAGCAATTTTAATGGGTTTTGAGATGATATGGGGGTTGCAAGTTAATACCGATAATAGTTGTTTATATGGTGTTTGTATTGAAGATTATTATTTGAAGGCTGTCGAGCAGTTCTTAGCTTGTCGGATTGGTCACATACCATTTAAATTTCTTGGTTTAAAGGTTTGTGATAGGCATCGTAGGGCGTCCCTTTGGAAACCGGTCGTTCAATGTTTCAAAAATAGATTGTCGACTTGAAAAGGGAGACTTCTATATATTGGCGGAAGAGTGTCTTTGATTAATTCTATGTTGATAAATTTTCCAATTCACTTCTTGTCTTTTTTCAAGGCGCCAAGGAATATTTTGGAGCAGCTCATATCTATTCAGAGGAATTTTTTGTGGCATGGGTCAGACGAAAAGAAGATAATGGCTTGGGTGTCTTGGGAATCTATTCGTATGCCAAAGGAGGGGGAAAATTTAGGTGTGAAGGACTTGAGATTATTTAACTTGGAGGATCTGGCGATTAAGAGCAATGGGTAGTAACAATTCTGGGAAAAATTGCACACTATAGAGAGTGTGCTTCACAAAACATCTATAGTCAAATGGATAAAAAAAAGGGGGATCAAAAATCAAAGTTTTTTCATCTGATGTTTGGAGGAACAAAATCCCACCAAAAATCAAATTTTTTGGTTGAAAGTTATTCTTAAATAGATTACTAAGTAGAGACCAACTTAAGGGAAGAAAAATTTTAGTTAACGATCATAATTTACCTTGCGTTTCTGCTTCATAGAGGATAAATATATCTATCACCTAATGTTTCAATGTAAAATGTGTAGGAAAATTTGGATGGGGTGTAAAAATGGATTGGAATTCCTATTGTGATGGAACAATCTTGTTTCCATTGTTTTAACCTTTTCAAGAAGGAGCTGTCAAAGAGAGTGAAAAAAGGAAATGAAGATCTAATTTGGTGGGCTAATGTTTGAAACATATGAACAAAGAGGAATAGAGTTATATTCTAAGGTGAAGCTTATAATGTGAATGAGATAGTTTTAACTATCAAATTGACAACTTCGAAGTAGAGTGTAATAGGTACAATTCATAATCCACAATGTAATTTTCAAGATTTTTATGTTGCCCTCCTTAATTGTTTCTTGTGATTTCTTTTTTTCTTTTTGTGTATTTGAAGTGTTGTCTTGGTTGTAAGGATTAGATCACTTCTAATATTCTAATTAAATCCATTTTTTTATTATGAAAAAAAACCAATTTCTATATATGAAAAACAACAATATTTGTATCTATTTATACTTTAACCTTTGGTTAATTATATCTCTTTTTTGTCTCTTTCAATTATCAATACAGATCTTATCCCAAAGATAGGACCGTACTTGTACCTTTAATTAGCTCAGTTCTTTCTTTCATTTCAATTATGCAACAAAGGAACATTTAAGAGAGAAACTTTATTAAATTGTAATAATTAAAATGCAGTTTTGTAAATTATAGGAGAAATTTTATTGTATTTTTAGAATGTTTAATGAAATTACAGTGTAAGAAGCTGAGATTTTTTTCTCTTAATCAATTAAACATAATGGATAATCGATTAATACTTTTATTTTTAAAATCTAGTATCATCCAATCGACTAAGCATCAAATATAATTCATTAGAATATCAAATTAGAAAAACAAAAATCTCAGGCAAATTAGAAATTAATCAACCAGCTTTGATAATAAACTAAGTGATTAACTGTGGAGAAAAATTCATCTTTCAATGCTTTTTTGATGATGGCAATATGATTGCAACAATGAGTAGTTTTTTTAGTTTGGATTTATTTCCTTATTTTTATCATCAATGGTCATCTCAAAGGTGAGCAGAGAGAGTCAATAAATTCGTCAACCTTTAGTTTGGAGATATTTTGAACTTTTCGAATGATAATAACTTTCATGTCAAACCTCTTTGCAAAATCTCGTGATCTTAGAATTTTTCTTACAAACTTCTTGTCTGACATCTTTTCACTAAGAGCGAAAGAGTTACTATGTCATTGAGACGTGCATTGAATTCATTAATGGTTTCATCCTTAATCATCTTCAAGTTTTTAAATTTAGTGGTAACGATTTGAAGTTTTGAAAAACGAACATGGGAAGTTTTTTCATGAACAACTTCAAGAGTTTCCCATACCCCTTTAACACTAGTGCATGTGTTAATAATTTTAAAGATGTTTTGTCAACTCTATTGTAAATAGTATTAAAAGAACGAAAATTTTCAAGGGCGTTTTCATCTTTAAAAGGTGTTCAATCTTTTTTGGGTTTCATGGATTCAGAATCATCATCGACTTTGATTGTGGGAAGAGTCGTCCCATTGATGGCCACTTTCCATGCAAACCTTTTAGTAGTCATAATTAGCATCATAATAAATTGATGGACAATTAACATATCCTCCTCTTTAGAATTGTAGATAGATTAGATATCCAGAAACACACTTAACTAGAGTATAGTGTCTGCTTTGATGACAATTGAGATTCCGTTTGCCTACTAACACGATGTTAAAACAATCAATGATATGAAAATAATTGATGAATAATAAAATGAAGGATAAATTACATTCACTTTCTTCGAAAACTATTAAAATGATGCTGACATTTCCTCTAATTTTAAAATATGCACTAACCTCACTTGAGGTCTAGTCCATATTTTCAAATTAGAGAGGATATATATATATATATATATATATATATATATATATATATATATCGATGTCATTTTAACATAATTCAATGGATGTGAGTATAATTTTTCATAAAATGAATAATATGTAAGAGACAAAGAATTGATAATACAGTTCGGTGCAATTGTCACGTAAGTTTGGATGACTGTAGTCTACATGAAAGGAAATGCAATACTAATCATAAATAGTCAATAATACGCGATTTTCTTATATAGTTCAATGCATTTTATTATTATTACCCATGAATTTCAACTCACGCTTTCTTTCAATCTGAGACCCATTCACTTTCACTCAAACAATTATTTAGAATATGAAACACTTCACAAATACATACCAAAAACTCCATCTCTTTCTTAATTAGAAATGACTAACAAAACAAAAATTTTACCCACAAAACACAATACAAAATACTTAACTCAAAATCCTTATATTGCCTTAGAAATCTCTCTTCAAGTATATCTTAAAATAAGAACAATCTCATTATATAGAAATTACGATCCAACCAAATACCTATTAGAGTACAACCAATAATCAATTGAATTCAATCTTGCTATATAAGTTGCCTAAAAAAATATGCTAACAAATTATACTTCTCCAAAATTGTTTTTTCTCTCCTTCAAATTTGAAACCGAACCTACACTCAATATATTTTATAAATAAAATGTTCTGAATAGCCTTTAATATTATTTTATAAATCAGTAGCCTTTATTTTATTCGATTCTCTCTCTACATACATACACTACATTTGATATATTGTCTAAAATATGAACTAACAATAGCTAGGTACCTCTCCTTCTCTATTGTTTTTCTCATTTTATATCATACATTTTTTCTAGGGTTTCTTTATGTGATACAACCTGTACTTGCTTCCTTGAAAGTTGAGTTGATATAACAAAAGATTCCATTGTTTGCTTCGAAATATTTGTCAGATTTAATCACTTTCTTTCAGTACTAACTTTCTATAACTGGTAAACAACAATAGTTTTCACCCATTTGTATTCTAATCACGTTCATTTTTTTTTGTACTTCTATTACTTTTTGCTTAAAATTGAATGTGCTGTTATTTATTTTAATATTTGAAGAAGCCTTTTATGGAAAAGAAAGATGATATATACACACACAAATCAATCATATGAACAAAAATGCTATTCTTACACTCTTTCTTACACCCTACACCCAATTTACTGTTCACAAATACGTGAACAAATTTTCCAGAATATGGTTAATAGTATGTATTTTATTGGTTAATGAAGTAGTGAAAGTGGTTAATAAATTATAGGTAAAATAATTGGTTAATGATGTAGATTTTTGTGGTTAATGTAACTGTAAAATTGGTTAATGCGCAATCTTATATTTGTGTTATAAAATAAATTTTAAAAATAAATATTTTTTTTAAAAAAAATTAATATTTTAAAAAAATATATTATTTTATTAAAAAAAACACTGTTCACCGTATAAATACGGTGAACAGTGTATACGGTGTAGGAAATGGGTGTAGAAAGTGGTGTAAACATAGCATTGCTGATCATATGAAACCTGTAAAGGTAGGACCAACCATAAATAACCTTAGCTCTTTCATTTCTGCTACAAAGGAACATTTAATACAGAAAATATGTTCCTACTAAAAGTGTTACAAAAGGAGTTATTAATGAATTAACAGAAGAGAAATTTTATTGCATGTTTAGAAAATTTATAAGTTTGTCAAATTTGTTGCAAATTCAAACACACACTGAATATAATTGACAACCCAATTAAGAATCTTTAGATTGACATCAAAATAAGAACCTATTCTTGATTTATAAGAAAATACTTGTACTATATTAATTATTTATATTTTTTAATTACATTTTTCATGCACTGCTTCTCTTTCTTGAGCACGAGCATAACCTGTTGGAAAAAGTTAATCTTGTGGAGGTGTCAATAGTACTTACTTACTAAAGTTAGAAGACATTTCTCCTTGAAGGGGGATCTAGGTGAAAGAATATCGTGCCAAAAACTCGTATCTCTCAAGATTAACCATTACCCATTTAATATCTATGATAGTTAATTTTGAATTTATTATTATTAATTTTATATAATTTTAAATAAAATAATCAAATTTTAATTAGTATATTTTATCAATTTTAATAATCTATCTAATATTTTAATTTTTTTATGGAATCTAATATTTTAATTTTATTTTGAAGTGTTTCTAGTTTAATTTTAACAATATGTAATATTGTGAAATAAAAATAGACAAAACTAACAAGTATTAGAAATTTAAATATATTAGAATATGCTAAAATATTCTATTAGGGAGTTGAATGTAACTTTTAACATAAGAGAGTGAAAGGATAATTCATTTTTCTCACAGAAAAGGAGTGTAATTTTTAAAAAAAAATTATTGAATAAGAGGAGAGAAGTGTGCATGTTTGAGAAAATAATTTTTCTAAATTTGAGAAAATTTTACTCATATTATTTATAATATATATAAAATTTAGTTGACACTAATTTATCTTTTGTTATACAAACACTTATATAATAAATGATTATTGGCATTTAAGAGAAATTGAGTGATATGGTAAAAGTTCTTTTTCAATTCATTATAATCTTCTCAATTTCAAAGGGATTAATTTGGTAGTTGCAAGCAATAGATCTCCGATTATAAATTTATATTGGATTGAGCTCTAGTTAGCATGCCGTCGAAGTTTGCTTACATGTTGTTGTCGATGACCTACATGCTGTAGTCGAATTGTGTTTTAGTATGTAGTTGTCGAATTGGGCTTTGTGTTAAAGATCCAACTATCTAAGTTAACTTGTACCCTAAGTTAGTTTGTAATGG